GGGTCATGTGGGTGGCAGCCACTCAATGTCCCTTTCCCGTCAATGTTTCTCTCTCTCTCTGTTCCTCTCTCTTCCTCTCACTCTACCTGAACAAAAAATGGAAAAATGTCCTCGGGTAAGGATAAAAAAAAAAAAAAATCAGCAATTCTGCCCTGGCACTGTTTCTGTTTTTCTAGTAACAAGAGAGTCAGAACTTAGTTTATTTTCCTCTTTTCTGTAACCTGTTGCAAACACCTAATGGCAACTGTAAAAAGATTAAGAACAATGATTGAAAAAACTGTGCTGGAGGCATGATGCATTTAACAGTTCAGGGGAGGGATTAGCATTCATGGGCCCTTGAGGGAGAGAGTGGGGATTTTAATTCTTGCAAGAAATTAGAATTTTTGAGCCGAAGATGCTCACGGGAAAGGCATTCCATTGCGCACCTGGCGTGCCTGCAGGTGAGGGCACTCTCGGGAGAGAGCACAGGACTGTCACAGCGGGGCTGACGGAACCGGGAAGGCAAGGAGACACGGAATGTGGCCCCAGTTCAAAGGCTACTGGCCCAGCACGGACCTTGAAACTGCAGGAGCCCAGAGAACGCCAACGAGAGTTCAAGGAGATAAACAAGCATTGCAGTGAACGACAGTGGGTTCTTTTAAAAGTTAAATAAAAGAAAAAGTGATATCACATCATCGTCCCACTCTTCGGTTATTTCTGTATTTTTATTGAGAGTGTAACGTGAGATAAAACACTGTCCACTCCCTGGGCCCCAGATTCCTCATTTTTAGAAAGAAGAGGCCGGGTTAGGTCACTGTTTTAGCTCAGGTTGCTGTAAGAGATGACCACAGACGGGGTTGTTTAAGCGACAAACATTTATTTCTCACGGTTTTGGAGACTGGAAGTCTAGGAGCAGGGTTCTGGTGACGGCTCCCTCCCTGGCTTATGAGGCTACCCTCTGGCTGTATCCTTACATGGTGAAGACAGCGAGCTGTTCTCTTCATCCCCGACAGGGGCACCAATCCCAGTGTGGGCACCCCACTCCCTTGACCTCGTCTAACCCTAATAACCTCCCAAAGGCCTCCCTCCAAATACCATCACATTAAGGCGTCAATGTATGGATCTTGGGGGATACAGATAATCAGTCCATAGCAATCCCCCCTAAGTTTCCTTCTCTCTGATTTTGCAGATGAAGGTTCCCTCCTGGGCACCAAGCCAAAATCAAAATTGCTTTCAAAATCTTCCATAACTGGATGTCATCCAAGACACCAGATTTGCTTGTTACCTTCCTCCAGAATGAACCATCACCTCCCTTTAGACACGTCTCTGGCCTGCCCTCCGTACAAGCCAGGTTAACCCATTACTTCCCCTCCTAGTTCCCTCACGCTCCTCCTCCTCCCTTCGAGTGCACTGGACTCGCTCTCTGTTGACTCAAGAACTAGCCATTTGCGGGAGCCGTTCTCCCAGCCCCCAGACCATCTCACAGAGATGAGTAACGTCGACATAACGTTTTCCTCCTGGGTAGTGTAGAGGAGGTTTTAGCGTTTGCACTGAACAGGATTTTTAAAGATGAGTTGTTTTGCCCTGGCCAGTTTGGCTCAGCGGTTAGAGCGTTGGCCTGCGGTGCAGAGAGACCCGGGTTCGGTTCTCGCTGGGGACATGTACCTCGGTTGCAGTTTGTCCCCGGCCCTGGTTGGGTCATGTGGGTGGCAACCACTCGATGTGTTTCTTTCACATCGATGTTTCTCTCTCTCTCCCTCCCACTCTATCTGAACAAAAAATGGAAAAAAATGTCCTCGGGTGAGGATAAAAATAAATAAATAAATGAATAAATGAATAAATAAATAAATAAATAAATAAATAAATAAATAAATAAAAATAAATAAATAAAGATGAGTTGTTTCATGTAAATGCCAGTTCTCAAAACTTGACCTCAAACATGACACGCACAAACCTTGTCCCAGAGCTACTATAGATTAATAACGCGACAAAATCAAAAATGAACAGTATAGGAAAAGACAAAGGAACAGTAGTTTAAGGTAAATTGTAGCTGAATATATAGATATATAGGATCATACTTTATATCTTTCCAAATACCAAGCAAATTTGCTGATCTCTGTGATTATATAAGAAAGCCAGAGTATTAAGGATTTGCCATTCATTGTAACATTTTGCTAAAAACCATTCATATGGCTCCACACTAGGATTCAGCATCAAATGTGGATTCAAAGAAGATTCCAGTTTGAATTGGTTTCCATAGACTTGGTCTGAGGTAGTCCTTTGAGAAGTTTTGAAGATAAAGGCAATGAAAGACAGGCTTGCTTCTGATAACTGCCCATGATACATCATTATTCCTCTTATGGACACAGTGCAAATACAACTTACAGAACTATCTGTAATGATTATCTAAAATTATATGAAAAGAACAATAATATTCCAAAGACAGGAAGATCTTTTTATGCGCCTTTATTATCGCTCCATGGAAATGCCTAATAATGAATCTACTGATAATTTGGGATAAGCAAAAGGCATAAGCAGATGATTTCTAAGGGAGAAAATGGAACTTATGGAAAAAACTTCAATGTCATTCATAATGACCCAATACAATGTTCAACTATCCAAATGGAAATGACTTTATATGTAGTTTATATTAAACGAGACCAAAGAGAAGGACCAGTGAGACTTGAGACCATCTCAGTTACTTAGAAGGTGGAGAAATGTGGGTTCTGGGAAGCCTGCCTTTGTCCTCAGATCTAGGCTCTCCCCCTTTCCCTTCTGCCCCATGCCCTGGGAGCAGACCTTAACAGAGTGCATCAGTGGGGACCCCTTGCCTCTGGCTTCCAGTCAGCTTCAGCCAATGGGATATCCCAGCAAAGATCAGTGGGCAGGGATTGGCAGAGGTGGTGTTTCTCTCCCAAAACCACAGCTCTTAGTGGGTGGCCCTTTTCTACAGCTACAGGTCTTGCTCCTTTTCCTGGCCATTTTAGGTGAAGGGATAGAAGTGGACTCCTGCTGTTGTTAGCTCTGGGCTACTTCTCCATCTCTTATTGGTTCCCTTATCTTGGCAACATCTTATAAGTTATTCCTGCAATAAGTCCTTCCCAATCATTCCTTTTGAGTTTGCCATCCATCTTCTGCCAGGACCCTGAAACCTACGGTACATCTCCAAGTCCACTCAGGACCTTAACCAAGTGAGGGCAGTTTCTACCCTGATCTCAACTCCTCGCCCTTTCCTTCTGCAGTGAATGCAGAGTCCACGCGTCCTCCCCTTCCACAGCCTGATTTCCCCTGGAGAATCACCTCTGCTCATCTCTCAGTGCACACGGTTTACATGAGGCTGATCTCAGCCCCAACCCGGAGCTGATCATATGATCCAAGTCAGTTCAATTAGGTATAATCTTAGGACTTCTGTTGAAACTATGGGGACAAAGACACCTCTGTTTGCTGAGCTAGCCGACCATAAGGAAAAACACAAGCCTGGAACAGTTCAGCCAAGGAAGAGGACATGCCTGAGTACAAACCAACAAGGTGGAAGAGGGTGGAAAAAGATGGAGAGGCAAGCCTATCAGTATTTGAATCCCTGGATCCCACCATGCCTGAAGTTGACCCGTAGACATCGTAATTAGTATAAGTGGTACATCCCTTTTTTTTCTCTGAAAGCTGAGTTGATCTTCCTGTCACTTGCAAATGAAAGCTCCCCAGTAGGCCTTCTCCTAATGAAAACACATATATTTGGGGAGAGTACAAAGTGGAGTGTTATAGACTGGGACTTCGAAAATGACATCATCCTGATTGGCAACATTTATCGAGCATCCTGTCATATAAGGTCACGAGAGGCTACCTGTGGTTTCTGTTTATCATGATTTCAGAGCTACCACCACCTGCACTGTCCCTTTAGTCTTTTGAAATCTGGGAGAGATGGGACAATACCAAATCAAACAACTCACTTAGTGTTGAACTTTGTGGCTGAGCCCCACGCATGAACTGCTACAGACAAAGAACAATGGTGGAAAACGGCCGAACACTGTGTTCAAGTATTATTTTCAAGTGCCATTTCACTGGGCCTTCTCAGGTGACATGGTTCACTGGCAGGGAAGCTGTTATTGTGACAATCATTATTCCCATTTACCGCCTATTAGAATGAGAGTCACCGGGAGGTCAGGCTGTCCCAAAAACCCAGTGTTCCCGAGCTCCGAAGGTCAAGTTCAAGGGACAGCAATCAAGTAAGGGGACAATGGCAAAGGCTCAATCCTTTGAAATGAACAGAAGGGTTAAATCCCAGGGGATCACTGCAAAGTGAGTTTTACTATCTTCAACATATCACATAGCTTGGGAAAAGAAATCAGAGTGACAGTGTTAACATGACCCCAGGTCCTTTCCAGAGCAGCCTTACCCCCTGAACACAGACACTAAGTCTTTGTTCGTCTTCATACATCCTCCCCATTCCTGTCTAACACCACGCCTTGCACATAATAGGTGCTCATAAATGATGACATTCGGGTCTACTGGCTTAAGAATACAGATAAAATATAAGATGATATATGAAAAGAGCCAGCACGCAGTCAACGCTCAAAGACATCCTTACTGATAATATCACTGCTATTATTTGTAAATGTACCTGCGTTATTGATAGGCTGGTTCCGCAAAACCCACACAAACCCTTTTAAGCAACAGTTTCAACCTCCCAAGCCAACAGCTCTGCTGTGAGTTTGAGTTATTTTCCTTGACCTTCACATGTAGATATGCGAATCAAACTATCCCTCAATTGCTCACTCCTTCACCCATTCAACAGTTAGTGGCCACCTGCAATGGTGACATATGGGAGTATATGTGGGAAACCAAAGTTGATTAAGACAGCCCCTGTAAAGTGCAAATGCAGACCTGTTGGGTATGGCAAGAAATCTGAAGACAGTGATGGAGAGAACCAGCCCATGGAATGAGGTAACTGATTTCAGAGGTTGCCACAGGAGCTGGGGACACCCTGGGGGCAATGACGATTGCAGGGGAGACATTTTCCTTACCTTTTCTGCAAGCCAGCCCAGGTGCCTGATCTCTCGGCTCCCAGCAATGCCTGTTTTCCCCAGCTGCTCTCTGACCTCAGCAATCACTCGGGTCAGCAGGTCACTAACGTTGGAATGGATGGCACTGAACCAGGCCTGGGCAGTGGCTGAGTCCTTGCTCCTTAGGATCACTGTGTGCTTAGCATCTGGAGAGTGGATTTCAAGCTGCCTAGAAGCAGAGAGAAGGATTAGAAGGTTACTGGGCTACAAAGTTGAACTAATTCTCTACTCTCACTTTCAGACGTGGTCAGTTTTGCATGGTTTATCTTAATGGTTCCATCATTCATTCATTCACTCACTCATTCATTCACTCACTCACTCATTCATTCATTCATCCACAAATATTTATCAAGGGCCCAGGCATTAGTGCAGGTACTGAGGGCATGGCTATCCAACCACCACGACCCCTGAATTAAGGACTTCTGGTTTTCCTGTTATGGAGCTGACTGACCAGTATTTTCACATCAAGACATCCAAACTGCGAGCTGATCTTAATTTGCCTTACCTCTCAACCCGCAGAGTATTTTAATTATACACTCATATCCTTGCTGCTGCTGGCAGAAAACAGATGGAAATACCTCGCTACACACTTCAACTACGGCTCAGTCTTCACTGTGAATAGTTTAGAATCAAAGATGATTAAACTTTGCGTTCTTTAGGCATCCTGCCGGTGGCACATTGATCTACCACGTAACCCTTGGACAGGGGTAGTGAAGGAGCGAAATGGCCTAGAGAGGGGTAACATGGGGAGACGTGTGCACTAAGAATGTTACAGTCCAAGTCAAACACCGACGCTTAAACCAGATCTGCAACTTGATCACCTGAGACACAGCGTGAGGGACCTGAATACCGACTGTGGCGAAAGGAGGAACTTCTAGACAGATGCTTTGTGTGTAACTTTACTTACAGATGAACAGGGCATTGCAAAAATAGTCCAGAGGTCTGGGTATACCCTTTCTCCCAGTTCCTCCGGAGAATGGTTACCTTTTATGTACCCATAATACAGTAACAGACCCAGGCAGCTGACCCCGATGCCATGTAAGTGTATGGGGCTATACTATGTTTTCATGTGCAGACTCTTGTGCCCACCACTGCGGTCCAGGCCCAGAACCAGTCCATCACCACACAGCTCTCCCTCCAGCGACAAGCGCGCCCCTCCCTCCCACCATCCCGAACCCCAGGCAACCATGGACCTGTTCTCCACGTCTATAATTTTCAGATAATGTTTATTGCAGAGAAAAAAAAAACCCATTTTATTCATTCATGTACATATGTAAATACATACCATTTATTGCTTCCTGTTTGCGTTAGAAAGATATAGGGATGAAGAAATTCGACACTGATAAAATGATGCATTTATTAATTTCCCTTCATCCTTTAATAATTAGGTGACCCTTCATTGAGCATTTCCTACGTGCCAGGCAAAGTTGAAATATTTTTAATATTATTTTATGTAATTTTCCTAGTAGCCCTCTGACTGGTATTATTAATCCCATTTAACACAAGGGAAACTGAAATTTGGAGACGGAGAGAAAGAAGGTATCTACCCAAGGCCACACAGTTGTGGAAACTGGTTAAGTTCAGAAGCCCATGGATTAAATATTGCGTCACAATGTTGCTCCTTAGACTCAATGACTTCAGTAGGAGAAGAGCCATTGTCCTCCACAGCTGTGTGAAGTCACCATCACCAGCAAATGTGCCCCAAAGTGTCCTACTTCGCACCTGAGTTCCAAAATAACAATTTTGCAGCTCAGCTGAAAATCAGAAGTCCCAAGTAACCTGGCCTCATTTACCAGGGAAAGTATCCTTTTGAGTGAGCAGACCTTTTGACTCATACACAAAAATTGTAGGAAAGGATGATGTAGAAAGTAGAATATCTCTAGGGAAGTTTTAGCAATAATTAACCTTTTTAATTTTTGTGAGAAATTACAAAATGGGCCTGGCCGGTGTGGCTCAGTGGTTGAGCATCGACCCATGCACTAAGTGGTCACAGGTTCGATTCCTGGTCAAGACACATGCCCAGGTTGTGGGCCTGATCCCCAGTGGGGGGCATGCAGGAGGAAGCCAATCGATGTTCTCTCTTATCAGTGTTTTTATCTCTCTCTCCCTCTCCCTTTCTCTCTCTCTCAAATCAATAAAGAAAAAAAAATTTTTCAAAAAAAAAAAAATTACAAAATGGGCCTCCTCATTGAGACTCCAAGGCTTTATGTGAGGAAACAGGATTCTTTAGATGACATATGTTCTCATCCAGAAGAAAAAAATGTCATGGCTCTTGGGCACGTCTCAAAGAAATGGGCCGCCAGTCTCAGGTGGGTTTTCTTTCCCGCTTGAAGCTCTTCCTTGTTAGTCAAGGTGCAGAGCCGACCCCACACTGGGACTCTCAGAAAGCATTCATGAGAGCTCAACTTGCTTTTCAAATGACTAGATCCGTATTTATTCATCTAGGAATTTAAAACAGGCCAATATCTCTTTTACAACACTTTGTTTTGAAGACCTGGATTTGTTTTAAAGAAATGACAGCTGGGGCCTGGCTGGAGTTGCTCGGTGGTTGATTGTCATCCTGAGCGCTGAAGAGTTGCTGGTTTGATTCCTAGCCAGGGCGCGTACGAAGGGCAACTGATCGATGTTTCTCTCTCCCTCCCTCCCTCCCTTCCTTCCTCTTTTTCTCTCAAATCAATTAAATAACAAGAACTATGCCTACAGGTGATTATCACCAGAAGGGCAACACAGCAAAGGATTCCCAAGGAGCATATCAGAAATTCATTGCTGAGTAGCAAATTCCTCCAGCATTAAGTGGCTTAAAACCGCAAACGTGTTATCTCATAGTCTCTGTGCATCATGAATTTCAGGTGGTGATTCAGTGGTTCTGGCTCCGGGGCTTCCTGGCAGTTTGCAGTCGGGATGTCAACAGGGGCTTCAGGCACCTGAAGCCTCCACTGGGCTGAGGCCCCACTTCCCAGGTGGGGCACTCGCATGGCTGTTCGCGGGAGGCCACAGTCCCTCCCACGTGGGCTTCTCCAGAGGCCGCGGGGTGTCCTCATGACGCGACATGGTTTTCCCCACACAGCAAGAAGCAACTACTGTTCCTTTTGTGACCTGGTCTCCAAAGTCATATACCATCACTTGTAGTTCATTCTTTTTGTTAGAAGAGAGTCACTAAGTCCAATGCACACTCATGAGGAGGAGTATTAGGCTTCACCTTTTTTTTTTTTGGTTTGTTTTAAATCCTCACCTGAAGATATTTTCCCATTGCTTTTTAGATAGAGTAAAAAGAAGAGAGAGAGAGAGAGAGAGAAACATCGATGTGAGAGAGACACATCAATTGGTTGCCTCCTGCACGACCCCCACCAAGGCTGGTGATCAAACCTGCAACCCAGACATGTGCCCTTGACCGGGAATCGAACCCATGACCCTTCAGTCTGCAGGCCAACACTCTAAACTCTGAACTAAACTGGCCAGGGCTAGCCTTCACCTGTTGAAAGAAAGAGAATCAAAGAATTCAAGGACATATCTTAAAACCATCAGGGAGAGGCTTGGAATCAAGTGATATTCCGGAAAGAGTAGAGTGTCCTGGGCCGTAAACCAGCAGCTTATAAGAGCCTATAGATTTGGGTAAAGGAGACAATGACTGAGCTGCAGCTCCAGGTTATGAAATGACACAGGCTGTGGACTCATGATAGGGGTCAGTGACAATAGGAGAGATGAGAAAGGACCTCTCATTGACAGCTCATGGGAATAGCATGAAACCACCAAAAATGATGGTGGGTTAAGAGCTGTTGGCTGGCCTGGCACAGAAAAGATGTCAATTACTTGTGCAAGGAATAAATTAAGAACTCAGCAATCTACATTCCCTTCCCCCTCACCCTCCAAAAACCACAGGGGAAGAAGGAAGAGGTGTATACACTTTTCCTTTTAACACCAATGAGCTCTACTATCTAAAGCAAACAGGACGTCCTGTACCTGGCAACGCTGAAGTCCCCAGAACCTCTGGATGACAAGATTCTAGACAAGGTCAAGTGGTGATTTTATATATATATAATCTTAGCACATCACCAAGCAAAAATCTCAAATGCAGACACTGTGGCCTAATTTGTCCTTTAATCTCATTTTACCAAAATGTGACCCAGTGACACACACTTTCTAGGGTATGAAGGAGAGAGAAAGACATTCCGCTCCTGGCCTGGCTGTGTAGTGGTTCCTCTAGTAGCCTATTTCCTCACCAATTTGAAACGTGTGTGCGCTAGCTAGCAGGTAGTGCTTAAGCACGTGGATTTTTTCATTCAGTCTGGCTCCAACAATTCTTGCTATGAGGCCATCGGCGAGGTACTTCCCTAAGCCTCAATTTCCTTATCTGTAAAATGGCTCAATACATTTGCCTCTCGAGTTTACTGCAAATATGAAGTAGATAGCATGCATGAGGTGTCGCAGTGCCAAGCTGATTTTGATCAATATTAGTTTATATTCTAGTTTACATTGAATAGTCTTCCCAAATTTGTGTAAAATAACATGGTAGTGGGCCAACGAGGCAGGCAGAGTCCTCCAGGGTGGGCTCTGGTTCAATTCTTTTTCAAGAGTACTTGGACTTGGAGGAAAATGCAAACCCCGGGGGGGGAGGGGGGTTCGACAAGGACGATTGCTAACCTCCTGGGATAAAAATATAACTTTGGGGAGAGATGCGTGAGTCTTTTGTGAGATACTGAAAGATCTGGGCTGAACCTTATTCTATCTACTTACTTTTACCTAAAAAAGCTATTCAAGCCCTGGCCGGTTTGGCTCAGTGGTTGGAGCGTCAGCCCGTGGACCGGAGAGACCAGGGTTCGGTTCCTGCTAAGGGCATGTGCCTCAGTTACAGTGTGTCCCTGGCCCCTATTGGGGTCGTGTGGGTGGCAACCACTTGATGTGTGTCTCTCACGTCAATGTTTCTCTCTCTCTCTCTTCCTCCCTCTCTCCCTCCCACTCTATCTGAAGATAAATGCAGAAATGTCCTCAGGTGAGGATTAAAAAAAAGAGCTATTCGAAGCTCATGTCAGGAGCAGGTTGATGAGAGTTGTGCCCATAACTAGAGCCACACCCGTCTACTGAAGCCCGCCCATTGCTCTCTCCATTCCCTGAGCTAACCAGGACTGTGGGAGAGAAAAGAGACGGAAAACGGTTTCATCTTTCTGTAGT